TCATCCTTGCCACTTTCTGAACCAGGTCTGGAAGCCCTCTTTCATGTCTTTAGTTGTGCTGTCATAACTGCCTTGATATCCAGAATCAGTTCAAAATATTTACCTAACATGGTCATTTTGACTTTGAGGAAGAAGACTCAGAAGTCACACAATGCCAGATCTAGTGAGAAATGTGGAAGAGGAGACATATAATGTTTTTACTAACCTGTCTTTTGTTTGGATGACACTGAATGGCAACATTCACTGTTTTTGATCACACTTTATAAAGATACAAAAGAGGACTCCGTGAAGTGCTTCAAAAGCAGCAAGGATGATTCCGAGCAAGGGAGAGCATTTTGAGGGGGACTGATGGCAGTACGTCTTTTACTGTAATACATTTTTTAATTTAAACATTTGCCCTATATTTTCATCACCTCTTGCGTGTTCTTCCCTGAGTTGAGAGCTTTTCCCAGGCCAAGGTGTCGTCTCATGTGACTCTTTGGAGGTGACCCCCATAGCATCCAGGCTCTCAGCTCCCTAAAGAGAAGTGGGACCTACCTACTAGTGTATAAGCCCAGCAAAGTATGAAATCCAGATACCTCAGCCAATATATATAATTTACCATCTTAGCCATTGTTAAGCAAAAAACCCAGGAGCATCAAATTCGCTTTGTCATGCAACCATCATCCCCATCCACCCACAGAACTCACTATCCTGAACGCAACCATCATCCCTATCCACCCACAGAACTCACTATCCTAAACTGAGGCTCTTCTCCCCTTAAACAGCAACTCCTATTCCCATTCTGTCAGCCCCTCCTAATGTCTACCCTGCTGTCTATATGAGTTTGATAATTCTGTGTACCTTGTATAAAAGATGTCATACCTTTCTGTGGCTGGCTTGTTTCATTTGGCATAATGTCCTGTCTGCAAAGTTTATCTGTATTGGAATACATGTCAGTAAGTCTGCCTTTTCAAGGCTGAATGATATTCCTTCATATAGGTAGACCTCAGTATCAGCATTCACCATATTTTTTCTTTTGGTACCAGGAATTGAACTCAGGACTTTGCTCTTGCCAGGCAGCTGCTGGGCCACTAAGCTATATCCCCAGCCCTTCACCATATTTTGATCAGACTTTATAAAGAGTCACAAAAAGTGACAAGAACAATGGAATGAGTGTGTTTAAAATGAGAGGAATATTTTGAGGAGAATTATTGGTACTGTACCACAATAAATTTTAAAACTTTAAACACCTGATCTACTCTTTTAATCACATCTCATACTCTAAACACAGTGTCTGTGCATAGTGCATGGCTATAAAGATGAATAAGAGGCAGTCCAGCCTTTTATGGTGAAAGCCAAAACAAAAGTCTGCCTAGGACCTAGTTCAGGAAGTGAGAGCTGGGCTCTCCAAGTGAAAAAGACTCCATCTCTTCAGAGGAGTGGGGAAGAAAGAGAAGGGAGCACAAGAGCCTGAAGGGCTTCCGGAAGGAATACTTTGGCTCAGCCTATGTCTCAGGGCATAGAGGGAGTAGGATTTACTGCAGGACCTAAGAGAATCTGAAGGAGGATGATCAGGGGGAACCCAGAATTACATGGCAGCAGCTGGGACCCAACTGAGCACAGGCTGCATGCGCCCATGGGTTCACAGCCTCCTTTTCCCCAGCACCACGCAGCAGGTCGGGGCAAGCCTGGGAGAGTGTGCTCGTGCCAAGCTGAGGACTGGCCCGGGCTCTGACAAACAGGCATGCAGTTGCTTGGCTGTGACTAAATAGACAGGCGGACAGGTGGGACTGTGGGGCTGTGGCCATGAAGCAGGGGGAGATGGGGCTGGCAGGGAGAACAGTGAACCCTGTGCCACAGCCTCTTCCCTCCCTCTTGGCCCCTTTCCCACCCGCCTGTCCTCCCCTGGCATTTGGAGTGTGCCTCAGACCCTTGCACCCTAGGTTCACACCACACATGAGGTCCTATCCCATGTGTTCACAGTGTAGTGTAGAAGAGAGAGCCTGGAGCCGGTGGACAAGCCTTGGTGTGGGTTATATGCACAGGACACTGAGGACTTGCCGGGGGCCCCTGGAGGAAGGGACTGTTCAGTTGAAGCCCACAGATAACAGGAGGACCGGCAGAGCCAAGGGCTAGAGTGTCTGCCACTCTGGACAGACACAATCACATGTGTACCTTCCTGCCACCCCCATGGGGCCAGTTGGCTGCATTTCCACTGCCCCACAATAGCTGCTGCCATTGCCTGGGCCCCAAATCTGGGGGTCACTTGACCCACAGAGCCTATGCCTTCCTGTACTTCTGGACCTCCCTTCTCCTCCCTTCTTTCTGACTTCTTTTGTCTGCTTCCTTTTTCCTTGTACTGCCATCAAAATGTGGCTGTCCAGGTACCCTTCAGACTGTCACCTTCCATGTTTCCATCCCCTACCTGACCTGCCCCTAGGGATTCCACAGTCTCACACACACCGCCTCGCCTCAGCATCTCAGACATGTTGAGAGGGCCTGGCCACCTGGTCCTGTCTGGGACCCCTTCAGAACTTGCTTTGTCCCAGCAGCTTTGTCTCTGCAAGGGCTCTCACCTTCCTGGCCCCTCTCCAGTGAGCTCTTAATCCTCGCCTTGGCCCCTGCCCTGTCCCCATCACATGGCCTGATCCTTCTCCCATATGTCCTATACTCTGCAGCCAACGTGTCCTAGATTGCCTGAGGCTGCCCTGCTTCTGATGAGAGCCCTTCATGACTGCCATTGTCTGTGACAGGGAGTCCAGCTCCAGAAGGGCCCTCAGGCTGTTTCCTGTTCCTTTTTCCACTTGGGGCTGTCCTTTCCTTTGCTTATGACAAAGCATCACAAATAGACTCTGGCTTTCCTGTGTCTTGGTCAGCCCCTACCTAAATATCCCTTCCTGTAAGTACGAGACCTCAGCAGAATGTCTCTCCAGCATCTCTGTGTCCTGGAAAGCAGTCTCTGTTTGTCCGTGTGTGCACAAACCTCTGCTCTCTGACTATCTGCACCCCCATCAAAGCTCAGCATCTTCTCCCTTGCCTTCTAGTTACTCCTGTGGTCTTTATTCCCCCAGGTCTCCGAGGATAATCTTCAAGGTCAAAGGTGCACACCCTTTTGCTTTTGTGCATGGGTTCTTGCGAGAAGGCTTGTACACATCAGCTGCTCAACCAACAGGTGTCAGATGAATGCACAAGTGTGGTTTCAGCAAAACCACAAAAATAAGTATTTTCTGGTTTCACTATTAAATAGTAACCTAAAAAGTGGCATCATATTACAATAGAGCCAAGAAGAAAGGTCCTAGACATTGATCTAAATGCTGTTTTCTTCCACCTTAACAGTAACACCGGTCCACGTTCCCTGTCTGAGTCGCCTGGATGGTATTGAACACACACTGACTTTGGGGAATTCTCTAAATTATAAGAAACCAAGCTGAGTGTGCCATGTAACGTAGTTTTTATTCATGGACAGTGTTGTGCTTTAGCAGAGACCTCAAATACCATGCAGTCACGCTCTCACATCTGTGTCTTTCCAAGATGTGCCCTGCTGTGTCCCAAGGCCCAGATTCCCAATTCAATAAGCCAAACTGACTGTATCAATAAAAGAGTGAGTAAACCTGTCCAGTCCTGCAGGCACAAAAATAGCAAGTCACCCTGTGGCTTGTGGGTCTGGAAAGCCCTGACTTCCGGCCTTCTGAGTTTCATTTTGCAAATGTGCAAGATCATAGAGAGACAGTGCTGTTCCTGCAGAGGCTCCTTGGCCGACTGGACTCTCTTTCTTTTGCTCCCCGCTTCCCTCCCCTCTCCCTCTTTCTTTCATATGTGTGTGTCTCTCTCTGTCTATTTCTGTCCTCTGTGTGTGTCTCTGAGCCTGTCTTTCTCTCATACACCTCTGCCCAAATAAGAGAAATGTGAGAAGAAAGTACAACTTCAAATAAAATACAGTGGATAAATTTTGATAAGCAGCTGTGTTTTGTTCTTGTAATGTTGGTCCAGTAAAGACAGTGAGTTACAAGGAAGGGGACTCAAACCAAAGTAGGGATTGTTCCTTAGGGAACACATCTAGCTAAGACAGGGAATCTTTCTGTGTGGGGGGAAGAAAAGAAAAAAAAACGGATTAGATTTGTGATTAGGCAAATGTGTATATACTGCTGAGACACAGGACTGGCTAACCTGGCTTGAGGAGAAAGGCTTCTTAGATTAAGTGAGAGAGACAGCTGTTGAAAATTCATAAAACACATTGACATTGCGGCAAAGGGTGACACTCTCAGAGGCCTTAGAGTTAGAGAACCCAGGAGTTGGGCTAATCCAGCAGGCACCTCTGCCTGCCCATAGGGAGGGGAGGCCAGTGCTAGTGGGGATGGACCCGAAGCCATCAGCTGTGGACTCCTTCATGCCATGAATTGAGGGGTGGGCACAGCTGATGGGGTGATCTTAGTTGTATGAAGATGATGTAGTTCACGTAGGCACTGGTGTGCTGGGACTGACACATGTGCACATACACACACCCGACTCCGAGAACACAGCGACCCCCTCCCACCTTGTATACCGCAGCTGGCCTTGGTTGCAAGAACAGAGTTGCTTTTTCAGTTCCTTTTAGCTTCTTTCGAATACATACTCAAGTAAATCAGAATAATAAGTAAAAGAAAGCATTGTTACCTAAACTGACAACAAGCCCAGCCGATTGGAAATAACACAAAGAAAATAACTCATAATGTAAAATAAGAATAAAGCAGTAGTACCTAGTTTTGTGCATGGATACATTGTTTTACACAGGACGCTACTGGATTTCATGAACATTTCTGGAGTGTTTTCCCTGAAGGCTCTGCTCTAATAGAGCACAGGGAATTAATAAATAAAAGCTGCTCCCTCGGAAGATTTGTGCTCTGGGGAGCATCACATAGCTCGCCCCGACCATTAAGGTGCCATTCTTAAGATCCATCATCGCCCATTCACATAGGTTCTGATTTTAATGAAGGTTGCCTTTCTTTTTTTCTTTTTCTTTTTCTTTTTTTTTTTTTTAGGGAGAAGAAAATGACTTTCCAGACACTATTGGAGATCCCCTTTCAGGTAAGGGATCCACTCTGAGGATATTGGGGTACAATGATAATGTATGTGCCTAAATTGAAGTTAATTTGAGAAGGAGTTTATTATTCACTTGTGTGTGTGGCTTGATAATTTTATGTGACAGTGGTTAAGACTCATGTATCTTGATTACAGGTTTCTGGAGGTGGTAGCAGGTTCATAGGTAACCAAGTCTCTTCTTGTTTGATGTCTCTTCTTCCTCATTAGGGGTCTGGACGCTGCACTCAGACACAGCACGAGACATTCCTTCTCCCTTTGTCTAGTCAGCTCTCTTGTGCTGGGTATCCATATGCATATCTGGAGCTCCGCCTCCTGCACATTTCCTGATCTCCAGTGCCCAAGTGCACGCTTCCTCAGGGCCACTGGTGGCTACACTTGTGAATGTTGATGGGGAATTCTTGGGTCACCACCTCCTGAGTGGCAGAATGCCATCTTCTCATTGCCCCTTCTTTGCAGGAACCCTGCTGTGGGGCCCCTTGGAAAGGATGAGAGAAAGCCTAACATGAATTTTTAAAATCTGTCCTGCAGCGCTGAGCAACTTTCCATACTATTTGCCATGGAGAAGTGCAAGGAAAGACTTACTTTACAAAATTTCACAAGCGTCTTTGAAGAGTATTTCCTCTGTGCTAACCTGCCTTCGCTTGTGAAAGGCATAACAGGACTTCTGTGTTCATCTACAGAAACATTAAAGTTTGCCTCTCTACACCATTTTTTTTTTCAGACCTGAGAATGGAACCCAGTGCCTTAAGCATGCTAAGGAAGTTCTCTGCCACCGAGCTACACCCCAGCCTATATATATATATTTTTTCTAATAAAGAAATGTTTAAACTGTTTAAGGACTATACCTTCCACATTAATGTGGCATGTTAGCTAAAATAAAAATGAATAAAGAAATTTATTTAGGAAAGGCTATAAACCCTTGAAGTTCTTGTAGGAGTTAGGGCCATTATTAGTTCGAACTTTAATCAAGCTCCTGATTGTCTCCAGAAATTTTTTATTTGTGTCAAAACAGACAGAAGCCTGGCATGCGTGAGGCTCTGGGTTCAATTCCCAGTGCTACAAAAACAAACAAACCACCCCAGAACTGTCCAAAAAGGATAAACTTTCATGACAGCTGGTAGCATGAATGTGTGCTGGACACCCCACCCCTGCCCCAAGCTGCTCTTGAGAGCAAATATTGTGCTGTTAGAATTGGTGTCTGTAGCATCCTACATGTGCCCAGCCCACAGATGGCCAGAGTTTTATTTTTGCCTTGTTTTCCATAAACAAACAAGAGACTGGACTCTTGATGTCCACTGGACTCTTGGTGTCCACTGATCTAGCTCCTACCATATACCAGGTGCTCTTCTAAGTGCTTTACCGGAGTGGGATGCTCAGGGTGGGGCTGCACATCGACTCTGTACATTTCTTCACCATACAGATGTGGATAGGGAGGCATCGCAGGATCACACAGGAGTAAATAAGATTCAAGGCCTTACCCTGGCTCCAGCTGCCCCTAAGGATACAGCAGATGCCCTTGGGACCTGCAAGGTGTATCCCCATGCAGCTGACAGTCCTTTGGGAGGGTGGGGTTTAGGCTCCACTACCTCAGATGAAGTCCTAAACTAGAACACTTTAGAAGAGACCTCTGGTCGCCCAGATCTCTTGAGTGGCCAAAATGCATTTCACAGAAGCTTTCTATTTGATATTATTTAATTCATGTCCTTTGAAAACCTTAGCTATCTGCAGTGCCATCAACAACTGGTTAAAACATGCAGTGGGTGTGGCGCCTCATGCCTGTAATCCCACTCTGGGAGGCTGAGAGGAGAGTCCCAAGTTCAAGTCCAGCCAAGTTAGCAATTTAGGAGACCTCATTTCAAAATAAGGGAGAAAAAACGTCTGGGGGCGTAGCTCAGTGCAAAGGCCTTAGTCAGACCCTGGCACTAAATAAATGAATAAGTAAATCCACAAGCAAGCAGGGTGGTGGAACACAAGACTGGACAGTACAGAATGACAGCCAGGGCTTGTAACAAAGGAAAATGGGAGGATACAAGTCAGAACCAGCTAAGAAAACAAGAAAATGTAGATGCCAGCACACCCTGTGCCCCCCCTCCCCCGCAAACCGCCCCCCAGGCAGGGAAAAACATTCCAACCAGTGCTCTGGGTTAAAGCAACAACAAATTGTACTCCACTTATCCTGATAGTGGAGACACAAAAATTTGGCAATGCTTTTATACAGATTTTCAAAATGAAAGCATTAGGCATTAAAGGAATAAGGCGCAATTATACTATATGTTTAAAACATTCCTCAAATTGGCAGATTTTATTTCTCCACTTTTCCCAGCGGCAGTCCCTTCTAGGGTCAGTAATACGACAAGTCCCCTGACACTTGGCCCACTGTGTCCAGGTTTTCAGGGATGACTTTCTTGAGAGCCTAATTCAACACCTTCCTAATCTAAAATTAGCTGCTCCAGAGAAAGGAAGGTAAAGTAAGATTTTGATATTTTCAAATTAGGTCTATAAAATAACATTTGGTTCATATGTTCATGTCCCATCATGTCAGAACTACATTACTCAATTTTAAGGAAAAATTCTATGCTAAATGTTTAATTGGGATCCTTTTATATGGATAAGAATTTTTCTTTCTTTCTTTTTTTTCTTGGTGGCTTTTACCCTGCAGTTTCCTTTGATGACAAAATTGAGGCTGAGTGTAATTGATTTGCCTGGATCCACCCATATTCCACGAACTTCTCCAGAGCTGCAGTCCACTTGGTATCTCTAAGATGTTTCAGAGAGAGAAAAAATGAAGTTATGCTTTTCCCTTTGGTTAAGAGATCAAACACCTGCCAAAAAGCCCTTGGGTCCATTTTTTCATAGATAAAAATAATTCTTCATCACTTTCCAGCTCATCACCTCTAACTACCTCTGATAAACAATGTGGCGTGTGTGCGCCCAACCCAATGATTTATTGAAGCCAGAAACTGGCATCTTACGTATATTTACTTCCAACCACATTCAAAACCACACACAGAAAAAAGGCGTGAATGTGCACTCTTACTAAGCATAACTGCAGAAGTATGTGATTCTGTCTGACATGAGGTAGTATTTTGCAGGTTCCAAATCTGATCATTTATAAGACACTTGAGATAGAGTTATTTTATTTTCGGACCACAATACTTTGCAATCTCTACAAGTGCCAATATACAGTATTGCAGTTGTTTTGAACCGATTCGAGACCCAGTTGGTTATCCCAGGAAACTTCATTCTAAGCTCTGTGAGAGCTAACACGGGTGCTGAGCACAGGGAAGGGAAGTTTGGTGTGGTTAGAGCTCCGGGAAAGCCAGAGAAGCCTGGGTGTACAAGATAAAAGGGCACCTTCCCTGCAGCAAGGCACATTAAGTCCTTCTGTGATCCACTGCCAACATCCTGACTGGAGCCACTTCTAGGCTCAACTAATCATGACCTCTGTGAATTCTGAATCTTGTTCCAGTTCACAATTAACTGTTAATTGACTGGTGTTTTATAATGCACCATCCCTAAAGGTGAGAGCTAGACATGGCATCATTGCACATTAACTTTTTCCTATGATTGCTTTAAATGGTATCACCATACCCTGTCGATGAACATGCTTGATTCTAACTCTTCTTTAAAGTATAATGTGAAATGCATGTGTGAGGAAAGATGGAGAGTAAAGAGAGAGGGGGAGGAAAAACCCCACAGGGAAATCCATCCATCTGCTGGTGGTTGTGGAAACATTAGATATACAGCGACTCTTATTTTACTGTTTTTTTTTTTAAGAGCTAAGATCTCACTGTGTTGCCCAGGCTGACCTTGAACTTCTGGGCTTGAGTGATCCTCCTGCTTCAACCTCTCATTTAGCTGAGATAGAGAGGTGTATCATGACACCCAGCAACTATCCAGCAACTATTAACCAAAGAAAAGTGACTGTAATTCCAAAATCTAACTCTGGCTTCCTGACTGTTTACTCTAGAAGTATCTGAAAGACAGTGATTTTCAACCTGGTTACACTTGAGGGTAGGAGGAGACAGAGTTTTAAATTCTCATGTCCTGTCTGCACCCCACACTAATTAAATAAGGATCTCTGTGGGTGGAGCCATACATCAAAATTTTGTAAATTTCCCCCAGGGGATGGAGGAGGTTGGTGGGTTCCATCCCAGAACAAAGTTGAGAACAAACTGCTTTAGAAGGCTGTTGGTGATTATCCCTCACCCATAGCTGTGTGTTTTCCTTAGGTATCATGTGTGGGATGGGGCTTTAGTGAATTATCTTTTCAACCCTCATAGCCACCTTGTGCAATAGGTGCCTTTTTCCCAGTGCAGGGAGTGAGACAGGAGCTTAGCACACTTGCTAATCAGTGCCAGCTGTCCACAAGGCTCATGCTGGAAATCTGCAAGCACACAGTGGGTCTTCTCCTTAGCAGGTGGTTGTCTTTCTTCTGCCTTATGTATGGTCTGTAAGCATTAAAAATTGAGCTGAGCCAGGTGGTGCACACCTGTACTCTAGCAGTCTTGGAGGCTGAGGCAAGAGGATCACATGTTTAAGTCTGTCCTGGGAAACTTAGGAATTTAGGGAGATCCTGACTCAAAATGGAAAAATAAGGGAGGCAGGGCTGGGGAATGTTGCTGGGTGTGAAGCTACTGGGTTCAGTCTCCAGGACAGGGGAAAGAAGTGTTCATTGGTAGAGTCTTAAGTAGCACCTTATGAGCTGCTCATAGGTTTCTGATGTGCCTATTTCTTTCACTTATGTCACTCTTCATTCGATTTGATTTACTGAGCACCTATGTATACCTGGCATGCAGCAGAGATATCAGGCATTGAAGTCTTTTTCTAGTCAGAGCTTATATTCTAGTTGAGAGAGACAGGCAATAAATACAGAAAATATGCGGTTTCATGCAGTGAAAAGGGCATGGAGGAATATCAGCAAAGGTCATAGGATGGTACCTGACAGGGGGATGCTGTTCCACGAGGTAAGAAGAGGTGTAGAGAACTGAACAGTGCAAGGGAGTCCACAGTGTAAGGCACCAGGGAGAATTCTGGGGAAGGGACTTGCAGGGCAAAGACCCTGCAGCTGGCCTGAGCTCAGTGCTCTGCAGACAGGAATGGGTGGTAAAGAGCAGCAGAAGAGGTGGCCCAGGGGACTGTATGGGCCTCCCTCTCCTGTCACCTTAAAAAAAAAAAACTCAAGCCAGGTGTTCTGGCTTGTGTCTAGATGTGCCCCCAAAGGCTCCTGCAGGCGGGACTTTTTCAGAGATGACTGGATTTATAGTGTATGATGCTGAGGTCAAGCATGTGATTACTGAAATAGTCCTTGGTGTGGATAATGGGAAGGCCAACCTTGCGTGTGTTACCACCCTAAAGGCAGGTAGCCTGGACAAAATATAAGGGAGAAAGAGGGCTTCTGTTGTTGCTTATTGCTGGCTACTTCTTGCGATGAACTGTTTCTCCTCTGTGATTCCTCTCTACTATGCCACCCTGCCTTGAAGCCAGACAACTGTGGACTGAAACCTCTACAAACTGTGAGCTACAAGAAACTTTTCCTCCTATAAATCTGGGTGTCAGGTATTTTGTTTCAACAATGAGAAAAGTAACTAAGACACCAGCCATGGTGGTGCACACCTGTAATCCCAAGTACACATCTTGGGAAGCGGAAGCATGTGGATCCCATGTTTGAAGCTAGCCCAAGCAACTTAGCAAGAGCCTGTCTCAACTAAAATTTGAAGAAAAAAAAAAAAAGAGCTGGAGATATAGCTCAGTGCTGCCTGAGTTCAACACTCAGTATTGCATATATAAACAAGTAGATAAACAAACAGCGTATTAGATAAGATTTGCCCAAGACTTGACAGGAAATGTCTCTCACCATTGATGCCAAAATTATCATCGTCTTTGTCTCACAGAGGAGAAATTTGAGGTCCACAGATGTTATGTGTTCTGAGAAGTTAAGTTTCCAGCTAGTTGGAGCACAGGGATTTGAGGAGCCCCACCCAGTACAGTCTGGAAAGGTGATCTGGGATTGTGGATGTCACTGACTCAGTGCAGGGCTGGTGGATATTAAGCACCAGGTAAAAGAGTCCCTGTGGCCTGGAGGAGTGGGTCTCCCTCCCCTGACAATCTTCCTTATTGTGAGCCAGTACTTAAGCTAGACTTGCAGAAGGCAAATCTTCCCAGGAGTTTGGCCTCCCATAGAAGTAGAAGCCATAAACTAATAGTATATTCCATTCTTGCTTTATATCAGGGAAAATACAGAATCCCTGAAGTAGGTGAGGACCCTAATTACAAATTCTAAGTGAATTTTTATAGAAAATTACATTTTTTTAACAACCCATCCTATTCTTCACCAACCTAGAATCAACACACTTTTTGTATTTTAAGACTAATTATTTACGTGTGTGTGTGTGTGTGTGTGTTAGAGATTGAACCTGGGACCTCTGCCCTGAACTCTATGCCTAGCCCGTTTTTATATTTTATTTTAAGACAGAATCTCAGTCACTAAGTTGCCGAGGCTGGACTGAGCTTGTAGTCCTTCTGTCTCAGCCTCCCAGAATCCTGAGATTACAAGCATAAGCCATCATGCCCAGCTCCAATTCTGCACTATTTTCTGCCCAGTTACTGCTGTACATACCAGCTGTGTTCCTCTTCCTTTACTGTGTTTTCTCTCTTTACCTTGCAAGATTTATTAAGCAACTACAAATCTACCTTGTCTCCCATGGAAAAGCACAGTTCTCATAGCAAATGAATTTTGAACTTCTAGGAAGAATTTGTTGGGAGAGGAAAGGTCAGTTGGTCATCATCACAGTAACTTTCACTTATCCATTGACTAACATGTGCCCAATGCTTGTCATTGGAGTGGCTGCAAATCATCATCCAGTTTTCTCCATTCCTGATGAAGATGTCTTTGATCCAGAGTCCTTCTTGGGAGATGGGAGACCTCTCCCAGTTTTCCCTTCATGTGGAATATTACACGTTAGCTATTTAAAGAATGGCAGGAAAAAAATGTATCTGATAGGGAAAAACCTATTTCTTCTGTTGAAGTCCCTCAAAGAGCTAACTACACTTTATAATTTTAAAAAGGCTCTGAAATCACTCATGTTGGCGGGGTATGAAGGTGAAAATTCAGTAAATACTTAGTCTTTTGAGTTTTTGAAAACACAAAAGGAAAGCATTGGTAGATTTTTCAGCATATTGTTTTTTAACACATGGAATTGACAAAGATTGTATAATAGTACTTTATGCTAACAAAGGTGGTTAACATTCTGACCAGAGTGTAGTTATCTCATTCACCCTCTTTTTCCCCTCCCTTCCTTCCCTCTTTCCTCCCCACTACCCACTGTCCCTCTCTCCCCTTCTTTCTTTCTCCCTCTTTCTCATTTCTTTTGAGTACTGGGGATTGAACCCAGGGCTTTTGCACTAAGCTACATCCTCAGCCCCAGTTTGAGACAGGGTCTTACCTGGACTTGAACTTGTAATCCTCCTGCCTCAGCCTCTGAGAAAGTGCTAGAGTGCTAGGCACCACCACACCTGGTTTCGTTCACCTTTGTTAGCCCTGAGTTCTAGTTGTAAAAGTATTTTTGTTTCTGTAAAGTGATTTTGGGCATATGCATCAGCAGCCTTAGAATGTTCAGACCAGCAGCCCTTTATTAATAAGGGAATGAAGATGTGACAAACATTTGTATGAAAGATCTGAATGGCACCATTACTTATAGTTCTGAAAATTTGTGAAAATTCTAAGCATTTAATAGTTTGTTCAAACTTCATAGTGATACATTTCCAAAGTTTTCTACACTTTGGTTATATTAGCTTTAAAAAATGTTTAAGCTGAACTAAAAAAAAAATGTACTGCAGCAAACTGAGTGGTCCGGTTTGGCTGAAGCATAGGACCTACTTAAGGAGACCACAGGAACAAGACAGTCGTGTGGGGTGGGAGCTGGGAACTGGCAGTGGAGGATGTGGTGAAAGTCTACAAGGACTCAAAAAACCAGAGTGTGAATAAGGGACTCCAGGTATTTGGGGTCCTTCTGGGAGACCTTCTTCAGTACTGTTTGAGTGCATTGAGTTGGTAATGTCACCCAGACATCAGGAGGAGTTTTCAGTAGTTTTTTTTAGAGCCTGGGAGAGTAGGGGGCTCATCACTCAGACCCACTGTGCATCCATTCCCCCTTTAGCATGGGTTAGGCATTTACTGTGTGCCAAGGTGTATTAGCCAGCTTTCCATCACTGGGACATAATACCCAGCACTCATGACTTAGCGGAGGATAGGTTTGATTTAGTTCATTATTTGGGAGATTCAGTCGATGGTGAACTGGCTCCAAGGCAAAAGCATCATGGCAAAAGAGCCTGGTGGAGGAAAGCTGTTTAGTTCATAGTTTCCGGGTAGCATAGCAGGGGCAACAGGGCCAGAAAAGCAGGGACCAGGCACCATATGAGGTACCTAAGGTCACACATCCAGGACTCACCAAATACACTCTGCAGGGCAGATTCCAAAATCAATCAAATTGACACTCTACCCTAACCACCACACAAAGGCTGGACTGTCTTGCAAATGCACAAAGGAAGGACTCTACACACAAGTGACTTATTAAGACTGTGTCTCAAAAATATAAAATGTCTCTTGATGTAGTTCCATGTGAAGGCTCTTGATTCAATCCCCCCAAAAAGCCTAACACTGTAATAAAATGTTCCCATGTTTATATCTTCGGGCTGTAATCCCAGAAGTCACATCAGTCAGTCAAAGTGTATGAGCAAAATTGTAGTAGCTCATTTTGTTGCCTTTTAATTTGTACTTGCCTTAGAATTGCTGTTTCTCGAGATCACCAAAATGACTCTCTTGATCCAGATTCTTCACTTTCGTACATTGGAAGGCCACGATCAATGTGATACCATATACATCAACGCTATCACCACTTCCCCAGAGTCTCCAAACAAGAGTCTGTAAAGAATTCCTTGGGCTGGGTGTGGTGGCACACAGGCCTGCAATCTTAGCACTTGGGTGGTTGAGGCAGGAAGATCGCTGAGAGTTCAAGATCAGCCTGAGTTACAAAGTAAATTCAAGGCCAGTTGAGCTGCATAGTGAGACCCTATCCCCAAAAAAGACAAAAAAAAAAAAAAAAAAAAAAGCCGTTGGCTATTTCGGAGGACTCTGAGACCATCCTGCAGATGAGTTTGCCATGTTCTGCAGACAGCACAGCACTTTATTATAAATGACTTGCCAGCAGCGTCTTACCCACTCATTCCATCCTCCCACTCCCTACCTCCTGGTAACAAATGAGGCTGAGGACCCTGAAGGAAGAAGGCGTCTCCCTGTGGGGGCCGGGGACAGCTCAGAGCCTGCTGTGGTCCTCTGCCTGTTTGCACCCCGCCTCGCTGCGCACCCGAGGCTGTTGGCTGCACTTCAGAGGGAGCCCCACAGGTGAAGAAAACAGAGATAAAGGCCTAGGGAAGATAAGGTGGCCATAAATTTTAAAAGTAAATGTTCTGGCACTATCAATTATCACTTGTTTTCAAATATGCATATGGAGTGGATATTCCAGTTCTTTTTTTTTTTTTCAAGAACTTTTAAAGAATTGTGCAATCCATTGTACCCTAGCATGCTGTGTTTAAAAACTGTCATAAGCACAGGTTGAGTGCACACAAGCTGGGGCTGGCTTTTCTCCAAGCTGGGCCCACTGGACTGTGATGTCCCTAGAGAGAACCCTGTTCTCCAGAGGCCTCATTTTAGTCAGCAGTCCCGTGACACATATAGAAAGATCTAGAGTGCCTGGAACAGAAATACAAAATTTTTACTAATTCTTCTGGCTCTTAAATTATTATCGCATAAGTACTGAGCTGTGACTATTCTGCCCTCTTCCCCTCTAAGGAAAGCTGGTGTATTGATAATTCAGCGGCATAAGAAGGACCTAAGAAATGGACCTGTAGGTATGACCTCAGCTGACCTGTGGACTCTGTTCTCCCTGCAGGTGTCAGCAAGGACCACCCCTGCAAAGAAGACTGTGCTTGTTCCTCCTGCTCCCTGCGGGCCCCCACCATAAGTGACTTGCTCAATGACCAGGACTTATTAGATGTGATCAGGATAAAGCTAGATCCATGCCACCCAACAGTGAAAAACTGGAGGAATTTTGCAAGCAAGTGGGGCATGCCGTATGATGAACTGTGCTTCCTGGAGCAGAGGCCTCAGAGCCCCACCCTGGAGTTTCTGCTTCGCAACAGCCAGAGGCCGGTGGGCCAGCTGATGGAGCTGTGCCACCTCTATCACCGTGCTGACGTGGAGAAGGTGCTGCGCAGGTGGGTGGAGGAGGAGTGGCCCAGGCGGGGCCGAGCTGACCACTCCGACCACCACTCGCACTTCTAGAGTCCCTGTCCTCCTGGGGTGGGTCTCTTGCACACTGGAGCAACCACGGCCAAAGAGGAATGTGAACTTGTTTTTTTTTAAGAATTTGGGATGAGGACGTGGAATGATGGATGGTGTTTTCCCCAAGGCTGGAGGTTTTGTGGAGGGGGAGTTTCTGGTTTGGTGGCAGATGATTCGTTTTTTTGTTTTGTTTTGTTTTTGTTTTTGCACATCTCGTTTAACTTAATATTTGAATGTGGAATTGGGGAAGACTATTTTAGAGACTTACATAAGGACCAATGGCTGTAATCAGGGTAGATTCATGCCATAATGAAATAAAATGGTCCTCTCAACTACTGCTGAAGATTTCAGACCCAAGACTGTTGATAGCTCTAGACATAGGTACATCATCACATGCAAGTACCTTGATGACCAGTGACATGCACAGCCTAGCAGAAGACAGCAATGAGAAGTCACCCTGTTTTATCTCTTGGTTGTCATTCTGTTGTAAAGTGCTGAGTTGATTAACAGGGTGCTAGTACTATGTGGACTTATGCAATAGACCACATGTGCCATCTTCTGTATTCAAAATTGTATACCCTGTACACCATCCGCAATGTCAATTGTTTCAGTATTTTTCAAAGAAATACAAAAATTGATAGTTACAGGGAGGGTACAGTAAAGAATCAGGGTTTTATAAGTAACATGGGAATGGTATTTGACACAGACTACTACTCAGAATGCCCTTTTGTTATCCAGGATTTTTAAAAAGTTAACTTAATATGTACTTTTTCTTCTTTTATAAAAGGTGGAACACTTTATCCCTGAGATGAAACTCAGTGAATTAATAAATAAGAATCAGCTGGTCCATTGTGGCACTGCACCTACCTCTAGCACCTAATGTCTCAGATAAAAATAAAACTTACTGACACTAAGGAGAGGGACACATGCAGGGGAACATTCCTGCTGATGAGTTAAACTCCAAATCTTAAAGGATTTTACACCAATTGAAAAGTTTGTGTTAAAGAATACTCCATGTTTCTTACTTGATCATTTTGAAAACAGGCAGTAATGGGGATGGAAGGGTTTGTAACTGAAGAAGTCAGATTTTCTAGGTTCTTTGGGGGCAAAAAGAGAGACCATAGCAGAGCTTGGTTTGGCTGACAGTTCCACAAAGGTGCTATTTGGTTGTGGCCATGGGCTTACAAAGTGAAGACCCTCTATGCAATGTGTGGGGGCTTCTGTATTAGTCTCCAGTTAAACCAAAAAGATGAATATACTACTAGGTACAACAGGACGATTAAGATTAACTCAAAAGAAAATTGTTTGCTAAACCACCATGTTTTTTCTGCTAATAAGTATGGTGGTTTTCATTAGGTTACTAATCCATATCAGCATCCCTGCCAAATGGAAATTCAAAAGAGCAACCTTTGCTGCAGAAACTCATTATTTCCCAGCTAGTGGAAATTACACCTGGTCAGATTTATCAGGTAAATACCACACATTTTGCCAAATATATTTAACGTAACAGCCAGTAATAAAATGTGATTTAAAAAAATAGATTATGGGCTGGGGATTTAACTCAGATGCATAAGCATCTGTCTGGCAAGTGCGAAGTGGTGAGTTTGATCCCCGATATAAAAAAAAAAAAAAGATTCTCCAGTAAGTTAGTGTTTAGGGAGACATTTGTTAAATATGTACCTAACAGAATCACCCAGGATCCAGGTTCTGTATAGAACTTGATGAGGGACACTCTAGTTGCCCACAAACTTGATGTATTACATTCATTCTCTTCTCTCTCTCTCTCCTCTCTCTGTCTCTGTCTCTCTGTCTCTCTCTCTCTTAGGCAGGGTTTCACGATGCAGTTCCAGCTGGCCTCAATTCACAGCCATCCTCCTGCCTCAGCCTCCAGAGTGCTGGGATTATAGTCATGCGCCACCATGGCCAGCTATCTTACATTCTCATTAAGCTACCTGTGACTGTTCTCATTTCTTAGCTTGTAAGATTTACTTTGGGAAAATGTGAAGGCATTTTGTGCATTCAATTTGGACATTTGAGGGAAATGGAATTTAAAACAGAACTAGCTTGTATAGCAAGGCTCTAGCCCTCGAATTCCTATGGGCATCCTTCTTTGTATTCTGCCACCCTGGAGATACAAGGGGAAGCCCAGACTGACAGATGTCTTCCCTGTGGCTGTCTAACATGCCAGGCATCTCCCGAAAGACCTTTCCTCCTGTCACCCCAGCCCAGCCCTAGCCAACTCAGTCTTCGGCCACCCAGAGACAGAGGTAGGGGACAGGAAGGGAAAATCCCATTCTCTCCCCTTTCTTCAGGTTGCATCTTCCCCTTTTACCTGATCTGGACCTCCTCACCTCCAAATGGACCAGAAAAAGAGTGGCTCTGCCATCATTTCTGCAGGGGAGGCTGAGAACGGTGCCCTCTCTTCCAAAGGACTTCCCCAAATCTGAGACAAAGAGCCTAGGTGCAGTGGACAGAAGGCTCCTGAAGGAAGCAGATTGAAGAGCCCACCCCTTCCTGCCTGTTCCTTGCCAGCCCTGCTCTGCTCAGAGGAACTGCCTCCTTCAGTGGCTTGGGTTGGCTTCTGAAGATGCCGGTTTACAACTCTTTCCCCCATATGAGGTCATAGTCAACATGATCCCAACTAAAATATCCCCAGTATCCAGATTTTAATTTAAATCTGGGAAAAGGGGGCTGGGGATTTAGCTCAGTGGCATAAGCGCTGAGGTTGCCTGGCAAGTGTGAGGTTGTGAGTTCAATCCCCAGGACCAAAAAAAAAAAAAAAAAAAAAAAAAAAAATCTGGGAAAAAATGCAATGAAGATTTCCTCATGGGAACCCAGTGCCTAGATTGGTGATTAGTTTCTAGTTAAATGCAAGTTCTAGATGTCACACATTTCTAAAGTAGAAGGTTTTGAGGGCTAGTCTGGGGAAGTGGGTTCCTATTAGCATAGCTTCAAAATGTGGGTCCTGGTCACACATTTTGGCTTCAAATTTCCAGCCCCAAAACTGACTTTAACTGAAACTCTTATCAAATCTTATCTGCAACACAGCTGCTGTTCATAAGTGTCATCTTGCCTTTTTTGAGATCAAAAATGTCAAGCAAGACTCAGCACTCAGGTGAATCAATAAAAAATAGAGTTGGTGGGGCTGCTTTGTCTTTAAATTCAAGACAACAGGAAAACTGTGACCAGAGCACACCACTTCCTTCTTTCCACCTGCAACATCATCTCCAGAGTCCTGATCAGTAATAATTTCCACCTCTGGGTTTATCACCACTAAGCTGCCAGCATGACTATGAAAGCTTTTAGCGTCTTTGTATAGTCTTTTTTAAAAAAAAATCCCTATGACAACTGCCTACGGAAACTACTGTGGTAGAAAAAATTCTTTTAAAATAGACGAGTTGATACAAATGTGCTGTTTTGATGTGTGCCATTATTACACATATTGACTGGTATTTCCTTTGTTAGGATTTTAAATTAATTAGCATAACATCAGCAGAGAGAAAATTAACCAAATGATTTTCAAAATTAAAGTTTACTCAGGCTCTTAAGTTTGATTAAATGCAAGATGACTTTGACCAGTGTTGTATCCAGAAATATCAAATAGTAATTCTCAGCTGGAATATAAATATAAATCGGCTGTGTAATAACTCCAATTTTTCTTAAAGTTAATTTATAGTAAACAGGTATTGTAATAGCCTAAATACACTGATACTTTACAACCGAAAAAATGAAAAGGAAGTTACTTTATGACGAATTGACTGAACAATTGTTAACAGTTGAGTTCATCGACCCTGAAGAGCTCTGTTCATCATCTGTCCCAGAAATCCCGTGCCAAGTTGGTGCTACTGTGAGCTACCCTGCTTAGAATGAGGTCCTGGTGCTGTTATTTAGAATGATAAAGTTTAAATTGTTAGGATTTACATTATGCGGAGATTTACCATCAATACCAAAAAATAATAAAACTATGAACAAATCATTTATTTTGTGGCACCAAATAGTAATTATTCAGTCATAAATTGTGGCATTATACCAAAGATGCTGCTCCCCACTTAGTACTAAGAAATAATTTCAGTTGTGCTGCCCCCTGCTGGATGACAAAATCTGCACCTCATCCTTGGATGCCTGGAGGCAGCCTTCTGCTGAGCACAGCTGGATGTCAGGAACTTCAGGAGCAGTCTCACTAAGAAAGGAAAAGTGTCATTGCTTTCAGTTTGACAGATACAGGCAGAAAGAGGGCGGCAGAGCTCAGCTGGGGCCCGGAGCCTGGGGGTGCCCAGCACTACGCCCTGTCATTCGTTCAGTGGACCTTTCCTCCACCAGGACTCGGGGTTAGCTGTTCATGGATTCTTTCTCTCAACACCACAGGGAGTGGCCAGGGTGGCACTGGCTATGATGCTAAATGGCCAGGGACTGACCTCCCTTACAGCAAACACTGACTGGAAGCATTAGCCTTACCTCTCCTCTGTGACCTAGACTACCAAAATATGCTTGCAGTGCAAGATTAATAACTAAGGCCTAGCAGATTTCTCTCCTTTTGTCTTTTTAGATGAATAAATATGTTTTGCTTCATTTCGAGGATATCACTGTCTTCATGATATTTTTTTCCAGCTTCTGCCCCCTCAGTTTTATAATTCTTCCCACTTTGGGTTCCTGGCATTGCTGTTTGTGTTAGTTTGTTTTTGAGCCATTCACTCTGTTCTCAAGTCAGATTTCCACCATATGCCAGTGGCCTTCACTCTCTGCTGCTGACAGAACTCTGCTTCCTTTTCATGCTTACCCATGTTGGATTATTCCTCTTCGTTAGTGATACTTGGATCTGATAATGTTAAAACCATTTTCTACCTTTGTGTCTTAGTCACCTTCCTATCACTGGACACAATACCCAACATCTACAGTCTAGCAAGGAAGAGACATTTATTTTGGCTCATGATTTTGGTCTGTGGTCAGCTGTCTTCTAGGAAGCCTCATTGAGAAAGGATGGTAGAGAGGCCTGGGCAAAAGAAACAATGATTGAACAGAAAGTAGGGAGAATGGGGAGTCAGGGAGGGAGATGCACCCCCCCAAAGGCACAGCCACAGTGACCACCCTTTTCCAACCAGAACCGCCTCTCGACAACACATTCAGCTATGAATTTATCGGTGGATAAATCCATGAAGAGCATAGTGCCCCAATTCACCTTCAAACACACATGAGAATTCTGGGAGACATTTTAGATCTAAATCACAACACCTTGTAAGTGAAATGCACATATCCACTCATGCCCAAGCAGTGAGTGAGAAATACTTGCTCTGTTCTTTCTCTGATTTCCTGCCTGGGAGTGAAACTCCCCACCTTCTGACCCCTGGGTACTAGGTTGTAATTGGATAAAGGAGACTCCTACCTCCTTCAGGGATAGAGAGAATCATGACCAAGATGCTGGGTCCAGTGGAACCTCAGAGCTGGGGGATGTGGCACCCTAAGTGCCCACTGTCTAGACTGGAAGCTGAGCTGTCCCCTTTTTTCCTGAGGCTGTGGAGGGGCATGGGTCTGGGAAAGGAGATGACTTTGAGAAATCCGTCCTATAGTCAAGTTGAAGAGATCAAAACAGTTGACGGGCAGCTTGAAATGAAATGATCAGGTGGACCACCCCTTCTGGAAATGGAAGAAGGAAGTGGAATGGGATGGGAGTGGAGGGAGTGGAAGAAGCATTTCTCAGTGCTTCCTGAACTGTGCCACATTCTGCTGTTTTATGTGACAGCCCAGGGACCAATGTTCTCTGGAGCGCATCCTTGGGGAAGCTTCAGGCAGGGTACTTTCCCCAGTGCAGGTGATGCTTCTGAACTCCCGAATCCTGTCAAGCTGGCTTTGTATACCTTTGTGCTGTACCTTTTAAGCTGCCTATGTTTTGGTCTCCTGTATGATTCTGTTTTTATTATCAATAAGGAGATATTTTTAAAAACTATAATAATGGGTGCTACAAAATTAAAGATTGATGTCAACTGCTATTTCTAATTGGTGCCTTTCTGCAACATCGTCGTTGACTCACGTGTTCTGTTGGTCAGTTGTCAACCTGATGGGTGTCTAAAAGGTGTCCTAGATGCTACTGGTGCAGATTCATTATGTAGCTCTATCCTCAAGGAGCCGTGGGCCAGGGAGAGTCATAGACAATGAGACACAGGACTGGGGAGAGTGGGGTGAATGTGGCCTAAGATCTTGCACAACCAACCCAAGAAGTACTCAGCTAGGAAGGGATACAGCTCACTAGCCATCCAGTGAGTGTCTCATGTGCTGTCATTCCTGGCATGAAGGGTGGTTTCATAGATAGTCAGGCTTGTCCTCTGAGCTGCCAAATAGCCCCATCTATCCACTTGACATATTCAGCTGGGTGTTTCACAGCTGACTTATCCTGTCCTAAGCTGAACATAATCCTTCCTTCCAAACTTTTCACCAGAGTTCCTTGTGTCACCTCACTACTCAATCATCCTTAAGACTCCCTTTCTTTCTCTGTCTCTTTCACCTCCCAATTACCTCCCAAGCCTTTTCCCTCTTCTCCAGCCTCACTGCTGCTGTCCTGACCCCAGCAGCCACTACATGTCACCCAAATAATGTCCTCCTAGCTGGTCTCCTATAGAGTTAGTGGAGCCTGTCGTTCTCAGCATTAACCTCAACAGTAGATTCCATTTGAAGATACGGTCCTTGTATTAGCTTTCCTGGCACTGGGACAAAACACCTAAAACCTGAAATTTAAAAGTGAAGTTTAATGTGGCTTAGGGCTTTTGAGGGTTCAGGCCACAGTCAGCTGCTCTCGGAAGGCAATAGCATGGTGGAAGGTTCTGGTAGAGGAACACTGCTCACCCCACAGCAGCCAGGAATCAGAGAGATAGGGGGAGGAGTCAGGGACAAATACACCCTTCCAGGTTACGCCCCAGTAACCTGCCCTAACTAGGCCCCATCTCCTAACAGCACATAATAAGTTCATGAATGGATGAGTCTTCTAATGAGTGCAGCACCCACCATGATCCAATCAATCACTTTTCAAACTCATGGGACTTCTTGGGAGACATTTCAGATCTAAACCGTAACAGTCCTAACTTACCATTGTGACCTACACAGACCTCCTGCCCCCTCACTGAGCAGCACTTGCGCCAGTCTCCTGCAGCTCCAACCACCCTGGCCTTCTGGGCCCTGATGGCCAGCATTCTCTCTCCTGCTCAGGATGTCCCACACACTGCTCCTCCGGCCCAGCCCATACTCACATCGCCCTGCTTAAGCCTGCTCAGCCACATCCACCTGTGGTGCCACTTTCTTAGCAAGACTGCACCTGACCTCCAGACTTCTTGTCTTCCAGTGACTTACACCCAGTTGTATCTGCTTGATTCCTAGCTGTTGTCCCTGCGTAGAGGCCTGGGTTGCTCATCTCCTCCATCTTGCTAGCATTAAGTACCTGACATAGAAGAGATGGTAAACAGGGTTGTGGATGAAATTAAGTTTATTGAACAATAAATGAAAGACTCTCAATAGAGCATAACACTTCTTCCATTTTATGACTTTGAGAGAGGAAAAAAAGTTATAAATAGAAACCTTAAGATGAGGGGATTTCCCTCCAAACCTCTGTCTGCTAGCCTAACTTTGTGTGTGTGTGTGTGTGTGTGTGTGTGTCTCTGTGTGTGTGTGTGTGTGTGTGTGTGTGTGATTATGGAGACTGAAACCAGTGCCTATGCACTGATCTATACCCACAGCCCTTATTTTCATTTTTTGTTTTTGAAACAAGACCTTGATAAGTTGCCCAGGCTGGATTTGAAATTGTGATCCTCCTGCCTCAACCTCCCAGAGTGCTAGGATTACCAGCATATACTGTCCCACCACACCCAGATAACTTTCCTTTATTTGATGACGTTTACCCTCTTCCATTCATGTTCTGGACTTGAGAGATAAAAAAAAAAAAAACTGTGTTCTTGAATTAATCAGTGGTGATAGTTGTGGAGTATTGTGAATACCCCAAAAGCCACTGGATGGTACAATTTTAAATGGTCAAAATGGTGAATTTCATGTTACATGAATTATAGCCCCACTAGAGGGAAAGGGCACAGTGGCAAGAGAGGCAGAAACAACAGGAGCCTGGCTTGGGGCTGGGGAAGAGGAAAGGGGTCAGGGGGATGAAGGATTTGTGTTTTGTGGAGTCCAGCTAAGGAACTGGCAGCTCCTTTCCTTAGTGGCAGCTAAGTGACCAGGAGCTGTCTGAGCCCCCACCACCGCTCTCTTCTTGGCTGACTCCGGGCTGAAGATCCAGTGCCTGCCTCCTCCAAGCCCTCTTCCGTGCTGCTCATGGCCTGTAGCTCTGGGACAATACCAAACACTGGAGAGGCCAGGTGGTAGGGCTATGGCTGCGGGACCTGTGTGAGTTGTAAAAAAAATCCCACTTTTGGTATGGTCTCAGTACCCAACAACATAAGAAAATCAACTGGACCACATAGAAGGAAGTATAAATCTTTTTATTATTTTGAAGGTATAAATTTTTTTATTATTTTGAAAATGCAACAGAACAAGACAGAACAAAGCCAACTGAGACTGTGTAGTGAAATTGGTACAGAACTTCACAGCAGGTTACCAGGATAATAGCAATAGGTATCACAGTGTATCTTGTTATCATCACATTTGTTGTTCTCTCAATCACATATAGCAAAATAAAATGAAGTACAGAACACGACAGAGCTTATCAAAACAGAATATTGAATGGAACAGTACCATTAATCAGACTAAAGCAAAACAGTAGTAAAATATTTCCCTTCAAAAAGATGGTAAAAGGAAATCCCCCTTATTTGCTATATTGCATATGGTCAACCTCCCAAGAGATGCTCAGATCTCTGGTTCCCATTTCCTAAAGGGGAACATGGGAAGTGGGATGTTTGACTCTAAGCCTGTGCACTGGTAAGCTCACTATTGCTTAGCAGGGAGGGAGGCTGATTGCTTGGTTTCCCAGCGTCCTAAGTTCCAACATGGTGCGGATCTCAGGAGACACTGGTGGTTCTCCCCCTAGAGGGGCTGTAGCCTGCCACACCACAGCTGCTTACCAGAAGGGAGTATAAATTGAAGACAAAAATTAAGTTACAATAATAGTGGCCTAGCAACCAGCCTAGCAATAGTGCACCTAGCAACCAGCCGTCTTATCTTTTTCCTTTCTTTCACAGTCCCTTCTATCTTGGACTCTTGACTCAAGGGAAAGTATCTTACAGAGATAAGAATGACCTTCTGTTACCTTGGCCACACCCTTCTCTACACCAGTCTGTGTCCTTATGTGGAAGAGAGCTCTGTTTGCTCCATGCAGCCTCCGGTGTCCACTGAGAAGGGTGGCATAAATTCAAAGAGCGTGTGATTTGGAGTCCAGTACAGCCAGGGCTACTGTATGCTGGCTCTCGGTACATTGAGGCAACAGGAAGGGTTTCCACACAGAAGTCACTCCTGCAGGGTTCTCTCAAACAGGACTCTGAGCAAAGGAAATAGACATAAACTATTCAAGGAACCAAGACTGACCTATTGGAAAGAAATGAGGATTTTGAACATAGTGCAGTGGATGTTTCTAGAATCATCCTCCAGTGATCCTCAAACTTGGAGACTTCTCTGGCAAATAATACACATCTAACACACAGTGACTCAAGGGAGGGAACTCTGCTTTCTTGCTCTGTCACAGACCAGCAGGGAGCTTTGTCATACTGATGGCTATACTCAGGGGCCAACAGCAGAGAATAACTGTGAAGGGCATAGTGGAAAAAGGCCTGACCATGTGGAGGATGGTCCACCACACTCAAAGGAGAAGCCCAGGGAATCCAAAGGAGCCAGGCAGGAAGATGTTCCGAGGACAATCCAGGATGTCTCAGGAAGCCATTTCTGGTTAGAGGGAACTCTACAGGCACTGGGGACCTCGTGCTTGCAGGTGCAAGTGAAGAACCATGAGACACTTTGTTTTGGTTACCTTACCATTAAACTCATCCTTTCCTTGGCTTCTGAGGCTCCATTCTCTTCTGATTCTTGTCTATTTCTCCGAGTTTTCTTTCTCATCTCCTTCATAGGCCTCTCTTTCTCACCTGCCTCAGTAAGTGACAGTGACACCAAGTGTGGCAATTTCTTTTCCCACTCAGCCATTGCTCACAATTGTTCACAATTCTCTCTAGCTTCAACCCAGCCCATACACTGGTTACTATGATTTCCTGTCTTAGCCCTGTCTTTTCTGCCACTGATACACATATGCGACTTGGCATTGATAGAAGCTTTGAACATCTATGCCAGGGCTCATAGCATGTAGTTGTGATCCCAGTGCTCTGGGAGGCTCAGTCGTTTCTCTCACATCTGCTTTCCCCGAGTTACCAATCTTGGTGCAGCCTGACCATCCTACGATACAACTGGAAATTCAACCCTGGCACAACACTCCTCTCCTTAACAACATCCTTACTGAGCAGTTCTGTGGACCTGCTTGGTCCCTTCCAACCCACTCAGTGTAAGGCCTCATCTCCTCTCCATCATGATGGTCAGAACTGGTCTCCAGCTCCATTTTCTTTACAACCTTCCCTTCTCCATGGTTCAAACACATGTGAGAGTGATCCAAAACAAAAATCCTCCATTTAAATCCCTTGATTTACCTTCCATTGCTCTTTCACCCTCCTATCACCAACCAAATAAAATCATTGTGCCTATAAGGCTGGGAGAATTGTTTTTCCCCTTCCAGGGATATGATATCTGTTTGTCCTGAAAATAGATATTACAGCTTTACTCAAGCCATAGTGATGAAACATGCTTATCAATGAGCCTATTGCAGTTTAAAAATGCAGGGTAAAAACAATTTTAAAAATCCAGTCCAAGTCAAACACACTGTTGGTAGCTAGCAGCAAAATTCTCTTCAGATCCCGATGGATTTATCGTTACTTCCATTCATGAAAACAAAAAGTCCTTTTATGCAACACTCAACAGAAAATACATAATGAACATTATTTTACCTGTTCTTGGCAACAAC